GGGTGCATCAGTGGAGCATTTGGAAATCCGGCAGACCTTGTAATGGTTCGCATGCAAAATGATGCAAAGTTACCATTAGAATTGCAACGTAACTATAAGAATGCGTTTGATGGTCTTTATCAAATAATCAAAGCGGAAGGATTGAAAGGTCTTACTCGAGGTATCGGACCAAACATGAACCGAGCCATCTTTATGAATTCATCACAAATAGCATCGTATGAACAAATTAAACAGTTGCTATTGGAGACTAAATTATTTGGTGATAATATGGCCATTCATTTCATTTCTAGTTTTTTGGCGGTACGTTTAAAGTAAAAAAAAATATATATATATTTTTACAGATCATTTAATAATTTCTATTTATTATTAAAATTATTTTTTAGGGATTCGTCGCTACAACTGTCTGTTCACCAATTGATGTTATTAAAACTCGTATCATGAACTCAACTGGAATGAAGGTTTATATTCTTATTTATTGTCGCAGATCATAATGAAATCGGATTAAAATGAAATGAGGGGTTTCTATTTGACCCATTTATACTTGTTTATTATAAAACCTGCCTCTAAACCCTAATCCTAACCCTAAAAAAATACTAAAAAAATGCACCCCAAAAATTTGTATTTTCGGTGGCTTGTCTATTTTACACTATCGCTCATTTCATTTTAATCTGATTTCATTATAATCTGCCACATTTATTGTGGCGGAAATTGGCTGAAACAGAGAAAATTAGATTGATAAAAAGTTTTTAATAATAACATTACTGTATGGTTGTTATTTATAACCTTATTGTAATGGCTATTATAAATTTCAGTTTTGGCCAATTTCAGCATCAGCTGCTACATTTATTTGTTGAAATTATTACTGCTTTAGAATGGATATGATATATTTCTCTTTTTTTAACAGCAAAGTTTTGTGACCGTGTTTACTTCGACGATTAGTAATGAAGGACCTCAAGCACTGTTCAAAGGTTGGGTACCAGCTTTTGTGCGATTGACGCCACATACAGTAGTGACATTTATGGTTTTAGAACAGATAAAAAAGTTTTATGATAGGCGAACTGAATTAAGAATAAAAGCTACTCATGATTGGAGATATCATTAATTAGAAATTGTTATATAAGTAATGATATGAGTGCTGGCAAAGCAAAACCTCGAATCGGCAATTATAGTTTATTATTTCTGAATAATAAACTATGATTTCCGGTTCGAGGTTTTCCCGTGCCGGCACTCATATATGAGTTTTGACACATTTTAGCACATATAATTGCGAAAGGAAGGTACGTTCGGTATATAATTAACCCTTTTTTATAGTGTATAAACATCAGGTAGGAAAAAAAAATTTTTATTTTTATTTTATTTTATTTTATTTTTTATTGATAATTCAGTTCATTGTTTTCTTCTAAAAGGTATGCACTTAACAGGTTATTTTTATTCTCTCCAGAAATTTTACAAATTAATTTTCTGGTAAATTATTAAATATGTCGAACATTAATTTACTATAATGATCAAAAATACCTTTTTTAATAATATACAGCCGAAATAGCTGCATAAAAATCATATACGGATATTTGGGCACCTTAGTATTATATGGGAAAATAAACCTAATAAAGGTGATCTGTTAAAGTATCGTTATGAATTAATAATGAATAAACCTAAATTATTCGTTGTTGATTATATATAGATACTTACAATGTACAGGCCCCAACAATCTATTATCAACAGAAGAACTGGTGCTAGCCGTTACCTGCATTTGGATACTAGATGTATCCTTTACTATATCACCTGAAGATAAACAAGGTTTATTATCTTCTGATTCTTTAATTATGTCGTTAGGGTCGACTGAAGGTAACCAAAATACCTGTAAAATGATGATTATGAAATGATTATTATTATATGTATTTTTTTATTTTTTAAATAATTAATGACAATTGACTCTAGCCAATAAATTCATTCAAAATATATGTATTTCTAGTGTTTATACAAATGTTTGTGTGACGTCATTTCAATCCATAAGTTTGCATTTTTATAATTAGTAAATAAAATATTCGCGTTTTTTTACTGTATTGATAATATATATAAAAAGAAAAAAATATAAAAAATATGTTATTATCATTACAGAAACGTCACGAATACCTTATTCTCTAACAGTAAATTATTATTATTTTTTTTTAAATTTATGAATTCATTTTCAAGACTTTAAAAAGTATAATTAACTTGCCAAATCAGTGCATGCACTTATCAGTAATAATTTTGTTGGATTAAATCTCGTAACTTGCGTCGGTTTAACGTGATGGTTTAATGTGTGGATAGGTCGAAGATCAATGTTTTCAGTGTTTGATGAATTGATGGATTTTGTTGTGTCCCAAATTAATACAAGACCATCTCTAGAGCCTTTATTATAAATAAAAACAAGATTAAACAAGGACAATAATCCAAGTAATAATATAAGACAATAATATAATAATATTGTTACATAATATTGTTACAGTACCAGATATTACATATTGACCATCAGGAGTAAAACTTGTCTCTTCACCTCCCAAGCATGCCGAGGCATTATCTAGGCCTATATGACCAATTAATCGTTGTTTTAATTGACCATTGAAAGCATCGACTAAATAATGAACATCGCCAGATGTAGTTAATAATATTTTTTGGCCGTCATTACTAAACTTTAATCCAGTCCATTCAGGAGGAGAATTTGGCAAGATATTTGAATTTAAATAATTATCATCGATTTGAAAAGTATCGAAAGGAGACTAAGTACAAAAATATTAAACCAAGTAATTTTTTCGGAAAATGTTGAATAAATGGAAAAATAAAAAAAAAAAATTATTATTATATATATAAAAACGAATGACAATCAACCTGACCAAATTTTCGGCTATCATATAACTGAACAGTTTTATTGCTACGTTTACCAATTGCAAACACAAGACCAGAAGGATCATATCCTAAACAAGGTCTGCCGGATTGAATATCTATAAAATCCTATAAATAGAATAAAAAGTCAAAAGATATAAGAGAAATAGAAATTAGAAAATATTAACATGTAAATCAATATCGATGAATTTATCAATAATATAACCTAATAAGTACAATGGCGTTAGGTTGTCTTAAATCCCATAACCGAACACCCTCATCGATACTCCCGGTCAAAAATTGATCATCTACGGGAGACATTTCTAAAGCGACTACCCTATAAATCAAGTATAAAAAAGTATAAAAAAAAGTATAAAAAAAAAGTATAAATAAAGTATAGAGTCAGAAGAGTCAGAGAGATAAAACAAATAAATAATATACATATATATATATGTGTATATACAGTATATATGTATATATATATGTGTATATATATATGTATATATATATATATATATATATACGTGTGTGTATAACGAAAAACATTATAAATACAGACCTACTTTGGTGACCACGAAAATATCTTATGAATTGGTTGTCACGTAATGACAAATATCTTAGGGTATCTAGGTCAAAGTATAAAAGGTTATAAATTAAAATCGAATCTACCAAAAAATAAATACCAAAAAATAAAAAATAAAAATAAGATAATTAAATACATACCATTGCCTTTTGTTGACGCGTATACGATATCGCTACTCGAGTGCATAAACCTAGTTAGATGCACACCATACTTTTTGCTAACTGAAAAATTTTCGTGTCTTTTAAAAATATAATATTTTCCTCGTTTATATAAATGAAATTCCTAATAAAAGCACGTGAAATTAAAACCTCGAAACTAAAACAAACTACCTTCCAGTTTGACAATTATATAAATTAATAGTTTCGTCGGTTGAAGCGGTAACACAAAATTCGCCAGAGCTATCAAAATCAAGAGCTGTGATAGATTGAGAATTATCATAAAATTCTTTTGCCTTCTTGAGATTTTGAAGGTGGGTTAGACTAAGGACTTGATGGGTTTGTTTATTATTATTTAAAGTTTCCATTTATAATATTAAGAGTAAGTTTTAATACCAAAGAGCTATTTTGGCAGAGAAGTTTAAACAACAACCAATGATCGACGATCCAAATCCCAGATTTCATGTGACTTGAATGCTATTGTAAATTTAATATATATCGATATATACAGTATTACTGTTACATGTACGTACGTACATATTTATATTTATACGTATACTATATCGATATATATAAATTCAAATTTTATAAGAAAATATAACTTTTAAAGATTTTATTAATATGATCCTAATCTCTACGTATACTAAATTTATTTACGCAATATATCGAAACTAATAAATCGATATAATGACTTGTTAGCATATACATAATGCGTATTACTGTATTACTGTATCGGTATTACGGAATGCGCGTTTAATAAACCGTTTTTTTAAAGATCCACGTGGAATTGAATATATGCATCATATTCTTGAGTGCACATGCTCATGGACGTAATGTTAATTGAAAAACATATCGATATTGATATTGCTTTTTTTTTTTCACACCATTTATATATAATTTATATTTTGAGCCTTACGAAGATGAATTTGTCAACTTGATTACTATTTTGATTGATAAATGATTGATAAAGATTTTTTGGATTTATTTCGAATTCCGAATTTTTTTAACAAATCATAAATAAGTAATGGTAATTCATTTAATATTCAAATATGTCAATACATAAAATATTGGATGACGAGCTAATCAAGTTATTAATCAAATTTCAAGAGAAAAAGACTAATTAATTGTACAAGTAAAATATGATAGACTAGTTTCTGAGAGGATAAATTCGCGTGACTTTATGATAAATGGTAATAAAATAAATACAAGATATATAAAAGTATTATATAATTGATGAGGAAATGAATATATTATAATATAATTAATGAGATAAAGTTCTGTTATTGTTAAATAAATATAAAAGCAAGTGTTAAAACCTTTTTAATTATCTCATTTTCGTTGACTTGTTCTTTTTTTTTCCTCTCTTAATTCATCGATTTATAAATTCGCTGATAATGGTAATGGCAAATAATAGAACTAGTAGCAATCAAATCAACTGTGTTTCGCTTTGCAACACGAATAACTCTCAACAACAGAGACATCGAACAACTCCATCTCAAGCACAATTTCTTGAAAATTATTTCACAAATATTGATGATTTTCCTGATTCAAATATGAGAGAAAAAATCGCTCTTAAAATTAATATGCCTTCTAAAAGTGTTCATATTTGGTAGCTATAATTTAATTTTATTTAATTTTTATTTAATTTTTATTATAATTTATAAATTAATGAAATTAATAAAATTAATGCCATGTGAACTTTTGAAGGTTTCAAAATCGTCGTGCAAAACGTAAGCAAGAAGACAGAACTCGTCAAGAACAAGAAACAATTCGTTCTGCGCGTTCATCATCTTCTTCCGCTTCCACGTCGTCTCTCAATCGTACTATCCCTTCGCAACAACAGTCACGTGCATCAGAACTGATGATTACTTCTCGCTATTTGATTTACGCTAATACCCATGGAAATCATCGTGACAATCGTGGTTCCATCACTTCTTCGCGACAGCCATTGGCTCACATGAATCGTCAAATTACATTACAACAAAATTGTTATAAACTTGCACCATTAAGAAATGTAACTCCAAGAGACGAAGTAATTAATTCTCAGGGCGAAAACATTATGCTTCCATCTTTACATCGCATCATCTCTCAAATTGTTTCTACATCCTTTGGAGATAAAAATGTGCCGGTAAATTGTAACAATAATACCTACCATAATTCATCTCCTAAACAGTTTTCGTCGTCATCATCGTCTTCGTCTCACGAACAACCATCAATGTCATCTACTTCATTTTGTCCTCCTTTTAAACCCTCTTTTCCTTTACAAAAAATGTTCATTGTTATACCAAAGAAAAAGAAGCATATAGGAAAGTATCTGAAAATGCTAACTCGGTCAATTAGACAATTAGATCAACAAACGATCGATCCTCATACTAACAACACCGTCATTATGTGTTTCACTTTCTTCTGCTTTTTCTACGGTATTAATTCGGTGAGAGTTCTTTTCATTAGAAGAATCAACTGTCATGTGGCTAGGTGGGGCAGTATTTGAACAAGATGCATTCAGAATAACTTGATGTAAAACAGACTGCCCAATACAACATTGGTGAGAAGGATGATGATGATGATGATGATGATTATGGTGAGAGCGTGAGCAATGAAAAGAATTTGAAACGAATTGAATGGGATGTAAAGGAAAAGAGGGTTTAAAAGGAGGACAAAATGAAGTAGATGACATTGATGGTTGTTCGTGAGACGAAGACGATGATGACGACGAAAACTGTTTAGGAGATGAATTATGGTAGGTATTATTGTTACAATTTACCGGCACATTTTTATCTCCAAAGGATGTAGAAACAATTTGAGAGATGATGCGATGTAAAGATGGAAGCATAATGTTTTCGCCCTGAGAATTAATTACTTCGTCTCTTGGAGTTACATTTCTTAATGGTGCAAGTTTATAACAATTTTGTTGTAATGTAATTTGACGATTCATGTGAGCCAATGGCTGTCGCGAAGAAGTGATGGAACCACGATTGTCACGATGATTTCCATGGGTATTAGCGTAAATCAAATAGCGAGAAGTAATCATCAGTTCTGATGCACGTGACTGTTGTTGCGAAGGGATAGTACGATTGAGAGACGACGTGGAAGCGGAAGAAGATGATGAACGCGCAGAACGAATTGTTTCTTGTTCTTGACGAGTTCTGTCTTCTTGCTTACGTTTTGCACGACGATTTTGAAACCTTCAAAAGTTCACATGGCATTAATTTTATTAATTTCATTAATTTATAAATTATAATAAAAATTAAATAAAAATTAAATAAAATTAAATTATAGCTACCAAATATGAACACTTTTAGAAGGCATATTAATTTTAAGAGCGATTTTTTCTCTCATATTTGAATCAGGAAAATCATCAATATTTGTGAAATAATTTTCAAGAAATTGTGCTTGAGATGGAGTTGTTCGATGTCTCTGTTGTTGAGAGTTATTCGTGTTGCAAAGCGAAACACAGTTGATTTGATTGCTACTAGTTCTATTATTTGCCATTACCATTATCAGCGAATTTATAAATCGATGAATTAAGAGAGGAAAAAAAAAGAACAAGTCAACGAAAATGAGATAATTAAAAAGGTTTTAACACTTGCTTTTATATTTATTTAACAATAACAGAACTTTATCTCATTAATTATATTATAATATATTCATTTCCTCATCAATTATATAATACTTTTATATATCTTGTATTTATTTTATTACCATTTATCATAAAGTCACGCGAATTTATCCTCTCAGAAACTAGTCTATCATATTTTACTTGTACAATTAATTAGTCTTTTTCTCTTGAAATTTGATTAATAACTTGATTAGCTCGTCATCCAATATTTTATGTATTGACATATTTGAATATTAAATGAATTACCATTACTTATTTATGATTTGTTAAAAAAATTCGGAATTCGAAATAAATCCAAAAAATCTTTATCAATCATTTATCAATCAAAATAGTAATCAAGTTGACAAATTCATCTTCGTAAGGCTCAAAATATAAATTATATATAAATGGTGTGAAAAAAAAAAAGCAATATCAATATCGATATGTTTTTCAATTAACATTACGTCCATGAGCATGTGCACTCAAGAATATGATGCATATATTCAATTCCACGTGGATCTTTAAAAAAACGGTTTATTAAACGCGCATTCCGTAATACCGATACAGTAATACAGTAATACGCATTATGTATATGCTAACAAGTCATTATATCGATTTATTAGTTTCGATATATTGCGTAAATAAATTTAGTATACGTAGAGATTAGGATCATATTAATAAAATCTTTAAAAGTTATATTTTCTTATAAAATTTGAATTTATATATATCGATATAGTATACGTATAAATATAAATATGTACGTACGTACATGTAACAGTAATACTGTATATATCGATATATATTAAATTTACAATAGCATTCAAGTCACATGAAATCTGGGATTTGGATCGTCGATCATTGGTTGTTGTTTAAACTTCTCTGCCAAAATAGCTCTTTGGTATTAAAACTTACTCTTAATATTATAAATGGAAACTTTAAATAATAATAAACAAACCCATCAAGTCCTTAGTCTAACCCACCTTCAAAATCTCAAGAAGGCAAAAGAATTTTATGATAATTCTCAATCTATCACAGCTCTTGATTTTGATAGCTCTGGCGAATTTTGTGTTACCGCTTCAACCGACGAAACTATTAATTTATATAATTGTCAAACTGGAAGGTAGTTTGTTTTAGTTTCGAGGTTTTAATTTCACGTGCTTTTATTAGGAATTTCATTTATATAAACGAGGAAAATATTATATTTTTAAAAGACACGAAAATTTTTCAGTTAGCAAAAAGTATGGTGTGCATCTAACTAGGTTTATGCACTCGAGTAGCGATATCGTATACGCGTCAACAAAAGGCAATGGTATGTATTTAATTATCTTATTTTTATTTTTTATTTTTTGGTATTTATTTTTTGGTAGATTCGATTTTAATTTATAACCTTTTATACTTTGACCTAGATACCCTAAGATATTTGTCATTACGTGACAACCAATTCATAAGATATTTTCGTGGTCACCAAAGTAGGTCTGTATTTATAATGTTTTTCGTTATACACACACGTATATATATATATATATATATATACATATATATATACACATATATATATACATATATACTGTATATACACATATATATATATGTATATTATTTATTTGTTTTATCTCTCTGACTCTTCTGACTCTATACTTTATTTATACTTTTTTTTTATACTTTTTTTTATACTTTTTTATACTTGATTTATAGGGTAGTCGCTTTAGAAATGTCTCCCGTAGATGATCAATTTTTGACCGGGAGTATCGATGAGGGTGTTCGGTTATGGGATTTAAGACAACCTAACGCCATTGTACTTATTAGGTTATATTATTGATAAATTCATCGATATTGATTTACATGTTAATATTTTCTAATTTCTATTTCTCTTATATCTTTTGACTTTTTATTCTATTTATAGGATTTTATAGATATTCAATCCGGCAGACCTTGTTTAGGATATGATCCTTCTGGTCTTGTGTTTGCAATTGGTAAACGTAGCAATAAAACTGTTCAGTTATATGATAGCCGAAAATTTGGTCAGGTTGATTGTCATTCGTTTTTATATATATAATAATAATTTTTTTTTTTTATTTTTCCATTTATTCAACATTTTCCGAAAAAATTACTTGGTTTAATATTTTTGTACTTAGTCTCCTTTCGATACTTTTCAAATCGATGATAATTATTTAAATTCAAATATCTTGCCAAATTCTCCTCCTGAATGGACTGGATTAAAGTTTAGTAATGACGGCCAAAAAATATTATTAACTACATCTGGCGATGTTCATTATTTAGTCGATGCTTTCAATGGTCAATTAAAACAACGATTAATTGGTCATATAGGCCTAGATAATGCCTCGGCATGCTTGGGAGGTGAAGAGACAAGTTTTACTCCTGATGGTCAATATGTAATATCTGGTACTGTAACAATATTATGTAACAATATTATTATATTATTGTCTTATATTATTACTTGGATTATTGTCCTTGTTTAATCTTGTTTTTATTTATAATAAAGGCTCTAGAGATGGTCTTGTATTAATTTGGGACACAACAAAATCCATCAATTCATCAAACACTGAAAACATTGATCTTCGACCTATCCACACATTAAACCATCACGTTAAACCGACGCAAGTTACGAGATTTAATCCAACAAAATTATTACTGATAAGTGCATGCACTGATTTGGCAAGTTAATTATACTTTTTAAAGTCTTGAAAATGAATTCATAAATTTAAAAAAAAATAATAATAATTTACTGTTAGAGAATAAGGTATTCGTGACGTTTCTGTAATGATAATAACATATTTTTTATATTTTTTTCTTTTTATATATATTATCAATACAGTAAAAAAACGCGAATATTTTATTTACTAATTATAAAAATGCAAACTTATGGATTGAAATGACGTCACACAAACATTTGTATAAACACTAGAAATACATATATTTTGAATGAATTTATTGGCTAGAGTCAATTGTCATTAATTATTTAAAAAATAAAAAAATACATATAATAATAATCATTTCATAATCATCATTTTACAGGTATTTTGGTTACCTTCAGTCGACCCTAACGACATAATTAAAGAATCAGAAGATAATAAACCTTGTTTATCTTCAGGTGATATAGTAAAGGATACATCTAGTATCCAAATGCAGGTAACGGCTAGCACCAGTTCTTCTGTTGATAATAGATTGTTGGGGCCTGTACATTGTAAGTATCTATATATAATCAACAACGAATAATTTAGGTTTATTCATTATTAATTCATAACGATACTTTAACAGATCACCTTTATTAGGTTTATTTTCCCATATAATACTAAGGTGCCCAAATATCCGTATATGATTTTTATGCAGCTATTTCGGCTGTATATTATTAAAAAAGGTATTTTTGATCATTATAGTAAATTAATGTTCGACATATTTAATAATTTACCAGAAAATTAATTTGTAAAATTTCTGGAGAGAATAAAAATAACCTGTTAAGTGCATACCTTTTAGAAGAAAACAATGAACTGAATTATCAATAAAAAATAAAATAAAATAAAATAAAAATAAAAATTTTTTTTTCCTACCTGATGTTTATACACTATAAAAAAGGGTTAATTATATACCGAACGTACCTTCCTTTCGCAATTATATGTGCTAAAATGTGTCAAAACTCATATATGAGTGCCGGCACGGGAAAACCTCGAACCGGAAATCATAGTTTATTATTCAGAAATAATAAACTATAATTGCCGATTCGAGGTTTTGCTTTGCCAGCACTCATATCATTACTTATATAACAATTTCTAATTAATGATATCTCCAATCATGAGTAGCTTTTATTCTTAATTCAGTTCGCCTATCATAAAACTTTTTTATCTGTTCTAAAACCATAAATGTCACTACTGTATGTGGCGTCAATCGCACAAAAGCTGGTACCCAACCTTTGAACAGTGCTTGAGGTCCTTCATTACTAATCGTCGAAGTAAACACGGTCACAAAACTTTGCTGTTAAAAAAAGAGAAATATATCATATCCATTCTAAAGCAGTAATAATTTCAACAAATAAATGTAGCAGCTGATGCTGAAATTGGCCAAAACTGAAATTTATAATAGCCATTACAATAAGGTTATAAATAACAACCATACAGTAATGTTATTATTAAAAACTTTTTATCAATCTAATTTTCTCTGTTTCAGCCAATTTCCGCCACAATAAATGTGGCAGATTATAATGAAATCAGATTAAAATGAAATGAGCGATAGTGTAAAATAGACAAGCCACCGAAAATACAAATTTTTGGGGTGCATTTTTTTAGTATTTTTTTAGGGTTAGGATTAGGGTTTAGAGGCAGGTTTTATAATAAACAAGTATAAATGGGTCAAATAGAAACCCCTCATTTCATTTTAATCCGATTTCATTATGATCTGCGACAATAAATAAGAATATAAACCTTCATTCCAGTTGAGTTCATGATACGAGTTTTAATAACATCAATTGGTGAACAGACAGTTGTAGCGACGAATCCCTAAAAAATAATTTTAATAATAAATAGAAATTATTAAATGATCTGTAAAAATATATATATATTTTTTTTTACTTTAAACGTACCGCCAAAAAACTAGAAATGAAATGAATGGCCATATTATCACCAAATAATTTAGTCTCCAATAGCAACTGTTTAATTTGTTCATACGATGCTATTTGTGATGAATTCATAAAGATGGCTCGGTTCATGTTTGGTCCGATACCTCGAGTAAGACCTTTCAATCCTTCCGCTTTGATTATTTGATAAAGACCATCAAACGCATTCTTATAGTTACGTTGCAATTCTAATGGTAACTTTGCATCATTTTGCATGCGAACCATTACAAGGTCTGCCGGATTTCCAAATGCTCCACTGATGCACCCTGATATCGATGCACAAATGACTTTTTTTACAAATGAAAGGTTCTCTGGAATATTATAAAATGTTAGTTTTATAATGAATTGACAAATATTAATAATAATGTTTTTTCATCAACTATAATATATTATAATATGTTCTTTGATACCTCCATTTTTGCTTAGCAACAATTTTAATTTGTCATAAACTCCAAATCTCATTGTAGAATACGTAGCCTGTCTCAAAATGCTAGCGGAAAATCCATTATATATTCCGGGAAATTTTTCATTTTTTATTATATCAATTGCAGTTTTAAGAGTTCCTTTCACGTTTACTCCGGTTGTTGTTTGCATGCGAACTTTGGTTAAATCTAGGGGGTGACTAACTAAGCAGGCAGAACAGGCTGCCGCACCTATTTCAAAATGTTATTTAAGAATAAGAATGAATTAATGTAGTCAATAAATTTTTCAAAATAATTCGGTAAGCCTACGTACCTCCAAACCAAAACGGATATACTTTTTTTCGTCCTAGACTAGATATTTTGGAGTTATTGGTTTCCATTTCTCTTTTTTTTTTTTTTTTTTTTTTTTTTTTTTTTTTTTTTAGGTAAAAGGGTTTATTTTTGAATTGGTAAATTCTACAAAGATTTCCCCATTGTTGAGGTTTTATTAATAATTTT